CTGTTAATCTAAGACAGCTTTTAAAATAATTATTGGGCTTTATTGCCAAGAAATAAAAATTGTATCTCTTTTTCAAATAAGGAAGTTCTCTATACTTATCATATAGGAAGAAAGCAATGTTGATCTTTTAGTAGTGACTTTTCAATTATAAAACATTATGGCAAGCAGATATATATCTTAAAATTGAAATCAGTAAGATATGTGATCATTATTTTTTGTATATATATAATGTGCTCTCTGTAGCTCACATAATATTAGTTGTATTCCAGAATTTTCTCAGTCATTTTCTTAAAGAATTTTTCGTCCGATTTTCGTTATGGATTGTTTGCGGGTTGAAAATTTTTGTTTATTTTGTTTGTTTCGTAGATCATTGTCTGTTAAACTTGTCTTTTTTTATTTCTACAAACTGTGCAGTTTTTGTAGAAATAAGGTATAGAGTTTTTTGTTACTTTAACTCGTCTTTTTATTTAAAAAAACTCTATGAATATGATTGATTCAGCAATATGTTACATTATTGGTTACCTAAAATGATATAAGAAGCAGGAAAAGCAGTTTTTATAGGAAGTGAGGTGTGAAGTGAATTTTCATCTTTTGGTTTATTTAAAAATTATCTGCATACTTGTAGGCTATGACAAAATATAGTGAGGTCAAATATTGTTCTATTGTTGCTCTGTCAATTTCTGCCAAGTAATTTAATGACTATTGATAGTTTTTAAATTTTTTGTTAGAATTTCTATACAGTGTTTTATGTTTCGGTTTTATGATGCTAATTCTACTTCTGGATATATGATAAATGGGCATATGGCTCGTAAATGTACGAGTACATTAGTTTCTGGAAATTGAAAATTGCCTGTACAGAAGTGATGCTTATGGAGATTTGAGTTTGTGTATGTTAAATAGTTTTATCATTGTTTATCGGTAGTTATAAATTTTCAGGAACTTGGAAGTGTTCTTGAAGTTGCAGTTAATCATGCTTTCAAAGCTCCTGAAGAAGGTACCTTATTAAAAGACATGTATCACTTGGTGCCTTATTGGGTGTGATTTATGCATCAGGAGGTGGCTTGTGCACTTCGTCGTTTATAAAAAAATAAAAACTTTTCGATAATTGTATTTCTATGTTTAGAAATTTACTTTCTTATGTTTAGTATGTGGATGGTCATGTAATTGAATATGGTGCAACTATTGTATCTTGGTTCTTTGTGCACATAAATTTTTTGATTCTCTCAATTTTGGGAAATATTATTGATTGTAATCCCATTTCGGTTTGTACAACTTTTACTTAATTTTATAAATAATGCACTGAGTTTTTTAGCAAAATGATTACTCGAATTTATCAAATTTTGCATTGAGAATAATCATGGTTCTTTTATTCCTTCGAGGTTGTTTAACTTGAGAAATTCTGCAATCCCGATGTTTGCGAAAAAATTTTTCGATCAGTTGTTTAACATGAGAAAAGAATGAATGCTTTGTCATAGCATGTGTGTTTGTTTTGCTTCTGATACTTCAGTTACTGCATTGTGAATTTGATTGACTTAAATTCTGAGCGAGGCTTTCAGATTTGGGTTTTATGTTACATTTTGCAAAACATTGGAAAGTCAAGTTTTCACAGAGTTATCTGAAATTGCGCAGTTTTTAAAAAGTCACCTGTGCAAGCTGTCGGGAATGTTTATTACTTGCAAGAAGAACGACATTTTGGGACTGAATTTGAATTAGTCCTCTGGAGACAACATTTACCATACCATATCCTGGTACTGGCAACGAACAAGAAGAGCTAGGGAAGTAGTCGGTGTTTTGCAATAATTATGGCAAATTACTTGAGTTACGAGTTTGGATAAAATGTGATGGAACAAATAGTAACAGTTCTTCAGTACAATGATGCACGTCAGTATTTGCAGCGCGTAGTTAATTTGTCATGTTTGGGGCACTTAAAGAATAAAGCTTGATCTGAAGTATGCACAAATCAACACAAATTTAGTGTAAGATTTTAGGCTGTGATTTATTTCTTCTGCCTTCTAAAGCCTTTAAGTGATGATGCTGCACGTTTAAGCTCACTTCTGCGCACACATATGTTTTATAAGGATGAAGTAAAATTGAAAGTAGGCATTTGCAACGTCAAGTATTACTTTGTGATCTTTGAACAGTGATGAGGATATACTCAATGTTGAAGCATATAAGTCAAAGCAATTAAATTGGAGATTAAAGAAAAGATAATGATTTTATTTGGATGAAACGAGTCGTGAAAAATAAGCATTGCCATCTTGAGTTTAAACTGATCCTAGAAGTAAGCCCGTTATCACTGTCATCTATCTTAATTTCATGCGGAATTGCTTTTCAAGACTGTTGTTGATTGCTCTTGAGAACTTCTATTCAGCCCTGAATTCGCTTCATCTTTTATCGTTTTACTTCATTCTAAAAGCTGAGCAATAATGCAATAATATGACTAGTATGTATATATTTCCTTTTAACGTGAGATGTGTATTCAAATATCTGTTCTGGTTTAATATCCGCGATATTTGCTTCATGTTAGACGTGTGTAAATTTACGATTCATGCAGTTATCTTCTTGTATTTGTACGTAAATTAAGTAAACTGTACGTTTCCTAATATATTTTAAGAATTTTATTAGTTAATAGTGATATGCATTTTGTGGAGTTAATTTGCATAAGTGAAGACAGAAAATCAGATCTTATTCAATTACCTTAAAAATTTTATCTCAGTTTCTGTATTGTCTTTATTCTCACAACTTATTTTAATCATTTTCTGCTTCGTTTTCATGCTAATTCAAACTTCATTAAGCTTGTTCTGTTGTTTGTTTTTGATTCACTTGTTAAGTAATTTAATTTACGTATTTGAAATGATTTCTTTAGCTTGACATTGGTTCATGTCTCGCTAATCCCACCAGTATTCTGGTTGAAATCATTTTGTAAATGTTTTGTACATTTTGTTCTTCAGTATTTCTCATCTTTTCTTTTCTACATTATTTATGAGTATCTTGTAACTGCATTTTAAAATAATCACAGCACTTGCAGTTTGAGTTTTAATAGAGACTTTTCTGTTTTCTTGAAGCTATTACATTCTTATTAAGACAATTATTCACCTTATGAAGTTGACAAGTATGTTATTTTAAAATTTAATTACTTTTTCGTAATAGTTTTGTTGAAAAATCAGTGAAAGCTAATTATTTGTTTAAAGATAATTTGTTTTTCAGTTAAAATATTTTCATGTTTTGTAATGTGACTTATTTTATAAGCTTCCTGCCTGGAAAAGTTTCCCTAATTGCAGTTACTTTTTATGATTATAATAATTATTCTTTAAATCACTCGTAATTATTGCTAGACGAGATCATGAGTGTTTTTAAAAACAAGCAGCACTGGTATAAAGTATTATTTATACATTGTTATAATTATCATAATTCCATAAACAAATATTTTAGCAACAATCTAATGTCACACAAGCATACTGCACAATCCTTTATTCTGCTCACTTAAGAAGAAACAATAAATAATTTAAAAATGTAATTTTCTCAATAAAATGTTTCTCTACCTCTTGAATATTGGTAGTGAGTGATGCATGTTTGATACTTTTGATGCTAATAAGTATGGAAAGTCAATGGTTGTCACTAACTTGCCAACTATTTTATAATATAATAGGTTACTCATTTTTCTTGCTGCTTTTTTACAATTTTTCAGGTTCAGTTACTGTTTTGCAAGTTTCTTCTGTTATATTACAATAATTTGGTTAGCAAATTTGGGTACATGGATGATAATCTCTGATAGTGCTAATAGACAATATTTTGAAAAATCAGTGAAAGCTAATTATTTGTTTAAAGATAATTTGTTTTTCAGTTAAAATATTTTCATGTTTTGTAATGTGACTTATTTTATAAAATAGACAATTTCAAAGGCACATGCTAGATTACAGCAATGCTTTTGCTGAAGTGATATTTGCCTTGTCGATACATGAATTTTAGTCTGCTTTGAATCTGATCCTGTATAAATTAGATTCTAATCAGACTGCTCCGAAAGTCGATCAGAAGCATCAATTCTGCTATGTGAAAATAGAAATAAGGGAAAAGTTTTAATTGTTCTTCCATACGCTACAAAATCTTTTCATTTACTGTGAATCTGTCTGAAAGTTTTATCAGTCGCAAATTGAAGCCAAGTTCTGGAAGCAAACTGCAATATTTATTACTCAAGTTAATGTAGGAACTGCTAATCAAATCACAAGCTTAGCAGGTGCTCATCAAGCAGTAATTTTGTTGAAGAAAGTGTAAAAAGAAATGAAAGTTTATTACCAAAGAATCAATTTTTCATTTGAAGCTAAAATTTTGCTAATTTTGATTGTATTTCTTGCATTTATTGTACTTTTTATCGTTCTGCTTATCATATCTTCGAGACAACGATTTGAGCGGCAAGTTACGCTTAATAAGCGTAATTCAAGCGCAAAATCGGACGCAGTCATTTCGGGTCAGTACTTCAGACTGCCTACAACTATTCGTCCCATATATTATGACTTAAAATTACAAATCTTTCTTCCGTACACGGAGAATTTAGATTTCGGTGAAAAAAATTTTACGACCGAAGCAAGTGTGATGATTCGGATTAGTTGTTCACATGCAACAGATAGAATTGTACTGAATGCTAAGAAGTTAAAAATTGACAAAAATGAGATAAGAGTGCTCCGAGAAAACGATAATAGCTCGATCTCAGTGCTGAGCATTGACCGTTATCAGCATGGAGTGAGTGATATTCATGTGATCGAGATAAGATTGAAACAAATGCTTAAGTCTGCTCTCAATTACGTAGTTTACATCAATTATCGAGGAATCATCAGTGATGTATGGTCTGGGGGTCTTTATAAAACTGAATACGATTTTAATGGACAAACCAGGTAAAATCCCTTAATAGCTGACTCCTAGCAGTGAAAACTAACTTTTTAAATGCTTTCTGCAAAAATTTCAGTTGCGTAGTCAACTAATTATACACAGTTTGTGTTAACTAACTCAAGCAGGTATCAAAAATTTTTCTTGGCATATTTTAAAAATGTATCAACTTCACAAATTTGAATAATGCTTCGTATGTCTGCACGGGAATTCCATATTCTCTAGTCCGCATAAAATGAAGCATTCATATTTTTAATGCAATAAAGTCTAACTCAATTTGTGCTGTTTTTAGTAAATAAATTCATCTGCAATAATCTGAAACGCTTTGGTACTTATATTTTGCTTCTGCTTCAATAGTTGTTTGTTATTTCCCTTTAATCGTGTACTACTTTTCTTTTCAAATCCTACTCTTCCTTCAAAACAAATTAAAAATATATTACCTGTGCGTGAGACGCGATAGATTTATAAATTATTAACATGCCCTGAAGTCGATAAATTGTTATTTAATAAAATGAATTCAGAAGATGAAAAAATATTGTTTACTGAGATTACTTTTGTTCCAAGCAGTGTAGTGAAATGGCTACTTTTATAAATCGGTTGAGTCTATCTATCGATTTGATTACAAAAACATTTTCGTA